TGAGTTAGAATTTTGTTCTACATTTTTCTCCAGCTCTGTCCGGGACCCTCTACTGTGATCTCTGTCAGAGCAGTCAGGGGTTGTGGCCGGGCACCGTCTAGTTGTGCTGGACTCAGTCTGGTGGAGGCTGTAGTACCTGTGGTCCGTTAGTCATTTGGACTAATCTTTGCCTTGTGTCTTTGGTTTTCTTCATTCTTCCTTGCTCCTGCAGGGGTGAGACCAGTGGAGTATCTCAGATGGCTGCTTACAAGGTTTTAAGACTCCAGACACTACTCACCAAAGCAGGATGTGGAACATTTTCTATATAAACTATGTTATACCAATTGAGCTAGATGTCCTCTGAGACCATGGTCCCTAGCCCTTAGCTCAGTAATTCGGGCCCTCGGGGAGTGTGGATGGAAAGGATACAAATTTCTTAATGACCGTTGTTTGATTTGATGAATACTAATCATGGTATCTCACAAAATATCTAATGGTTCCTTTAACTATTACTAATGTTACTTGGGGAGCCCTGGTGGCACAGTGGTTAAGAGCTACGGCTGCTAACCAAAAGGTCAGCAGTTGGAATCTACCACCTGCTCCTTGGAAACTCGATAAGGCAGTTCTCCTCTGTCCTATAGGGTCACTATGAGTCGGAATCAACTCGATAGCAACAGGGTTTTTTTTTGTTTGTTTGTTCTGATGTTACTTGGGTTGGCTGTCTCTTACCTTCACGTAGTAGTTCATTTTTTTTTTCCAGAAAGAGCAGCTTTGTGCCTTGTAGCTAGTGTATTAATTTCTTAGGGCCGCCATAACAAAGTACCACAAATTAGGTGGCTGAAAGCAACAAAAATTTATTCTCCCACGGTTCTGGAAGCTAGAAATTTGAAACTAGCATGTCTGTGGTGTTAATTCCTTCTGAGGATTCAGAGAGAATCTGTTCCATGCCTGTCTCCTAGTGTCGGTGACTGCCAGCAATCATTGGTGTTCTTGGCTTGTAGATGCATCACTTCAGTTTCTGCCTGTTTTCACATAGCGTTCTCCCTGTGTGTCTGTCTCTGTCTCCTCCCCTCTTCTTAGGAGGACACTGGTCATATTAGGGCCATTTCTACTTCAGTGTGACCTTGTGTTAATTGATTACATCTGCAAAGATGCTATTCCTAAATAAGGTTTCATTCACAGGTACTGGGGGTTAGGACGTGAAATGTATCTTTTGGGGGATACATATCAACCCGTAGCAGCTAGCTAGCTGTATGCCAGGCTGGTCACTTTGCTGCATTTGTTCCCCACGTACCCAAAGTTGTACCCTGTTGCTTATGAGGCTATGTGTTGAACAATCTCAAAGATATTTTTCCTATCCTTCATTTTTCAAGGTATATATGGCTGCATATCAACTACCACAAAAGTTATTGGCGTAAAACAACTATTTTATTGTGCTCACAGAATCTGTGGGTTAAGAACTCAGATAAGACATGGTGGGAATGGATTGTCTCTGCTCCACAATGTCTGAGGCTAGTTTTCATCTGGGACCTCCACTGGGCGGGCAGTCAGAATGCCTACACACGGCCTCTTCATATGGTCTCACCACTTGGGCTACTTTGTGCTTCCTCACATCATGGTGGCTGGATTCCAAGCACAAGCATCATTCTTATGATCTAGCTTTAAAAGTCACATAGCATCACTTCTGCCAAACTCTCTTGGTCTCAGCAGGCACAAAGTTCCACCCAGATTGAAGAGGAGGAGACATAGAACTCACCACTTGATGGAAGAGTGTCAGAGTCACATTGTAAGAAAAAACATTGTTTCAGCCTCTTCTCAGCTGCAGTTTAAGCTCAACTGAAAAATTCCTTTTATTGTTGCAGACAAGTCAGACCCTATATAGATGTCTTGTGAATAATGTCAGTTTCATGAATTGAATAGCATATTCTAAGACTATTGCTCTTGTTTTGACACTTGATACTCTGTAGGGCTTATAGCTAATATTAAAATCATTTTAAAAAGGGAATGTAAAATGACTGATAAATCCAGGTTTCACAAATACGAAGGA